ATGTACTGTATATGTTGAAATACACCTAAATGTTCTACACAGAAAAAACATAACTAGGCAGCAACTTAAACTATGTACTTTTAAACTTGTTCCTTTGGGCATGTTATCGAATGAGCAAATAATGTAAAATCACTTCTTCAGCATCGACATTGCCTGCAATCCATTTGTGGCTAAAAAAATACAGCAGTCCATTTGTTTATACAATCTTAAAAGGTCTTTTCTTATTGACTTAGTAAGGTTCTCTTTGAAGATTTCCTTACACATAACACTTTCATATCTATAACTGTTTATGCAGAAGGGTGTAAAAAATGGCAAACAAAATGCTGATTCTAGCCAATTTCTACTAAACCATATTTGCACATGGGTGTATGTGAAATATAGGGGAAAGATGAGTGCTACAATTGGGGAACATTATTTAAAGTAGAATTAGAGTCTGAAGTACTAAATGCGCAGACCCTTGGGTGGTCTCAAAATACAATAGATTTAATAAAAGCTGAAAGTTAAATTGTTGAGTTAAGTATAAAAGTTGTTTAGGTAGTTCAGATATGCCTTGGTAGATGAATGTCAGCAGTCTCTCCTCTACATTATTGCTCCATCTTATTCAAGAAGTTAGGAGTCTGCTGGCTTTTGTAGAGCTCTACAGAGAACTTGAGATGCCATTAAAATCTATCATGGATAGTTGTATCTGCAAGCTAGCATTGTTGTAACTTTAGAAATGTTTTAAGTCGGCCACAGTTAGTGCAAATCTTGGCTGGTTTAGTAGAGACCAGCCGAGATTCGAACCATTTATGGGCAGGATGATTATTTTATGACGTGGGTACAACAAGCCTGTCACATACTTCATGCGATTATTGCTAGTGGTAGAACACAATAGCTCCATGGGAGGGAAACAAATGGATTTCTATCCAGCAATCCATGGTTGCAGGAAAGAAAATCCAATTGTCTATGGCTGGCTTTAGGCTAAGAACATTTTTATTTAAATCAGATAGAGCTATAAATACTTTAAATTAGCCTTTTTTTCAGCCACCTTGTGAGAATTGTTAGTCTAGTACTTCAGGATTTGAGATGAGTGGTGTATTGTTGACCTGTAAATACAGACTTCACAGTAAGTGTTTGGTGTAAGGAGTGAGAATAAGGAAGAATACACCCCAAGGGCCAAGATGCCAAAGTGCCAAGATAGGGTAATCAAACTTACAAATCTACATGTACAGTGCCTGGACCAATACAGGGGCAGAAATAACAATCCTAAGATTACCACCTTTAGGAGCAAAATTGAAGAGGCTAGTGGAAAGTCTTGTGACTTAAACGTGCTTGATTTATTCATAGTAAGTTTGGTGAACCAGAGCCAAGATTTTAATCAACATTATGTTTTTCTATCTAGGGACAAATGTAGCTTACAACACTAGTGCAAATTGTATTCTGGGCTTTGTCCTATTTTAAGACACTGTCTGGCAGTAGTGTGGATGATGCACAAGTCACTTAAGTTTCTCACCTACACATGGTGAGGGCCTCCATGATTTGCCTCCCTTATGGAGAAAATATTTCTTTTTGTTTTTTTCAGATCTTGGTTTTGGGTGGAATAAAGCTTTAGCCCCTCTGCTGCCTTTTTTTTTTTGGGTAACTTAACAAAGGTATTTTGTTAGTCAGGAGCTGACATAAGTTTAGTTCCTGGCTCAGAAGAGTAGATGTTTTGTCTTTGGTTTATGTGATAGACTTGTGTACAAATACCTCTTGCATTGAATTGTGCTTCTTTGCTGCCTTGTCAACAAAATGCAGGACAAAGCTGCTTGGACTGTTTCTGGGTTTACTGCTGCCACTACCAGTTAAACCTGTTTGCTTTACACAAAGTGAAAAAACATGTTTCTGTACAAACCATTTTTAATAAGGCACTACAAAATAAATAAACAAAATCAGTTTAAGTTTACATACGGATAAGTAAAACTTGAAAATGAAAATGAATAAGCATTAAGATTTTACAAGGGAGTTAAACTTTGATTTTTTTTATTTATTTGCTCCTTATAATTCACATAGACCACTAATTTATGAATAAAGGATACTAGTGTGGTCATTAATAAATGAACCCTGTACATTACACTGGGAGAGTGGTGCTCCGTTTACTCTCTTCATTACCTGCTGCCTATCCTTTCCACTGAATTCTTAAACAGTGGGCAGATGCTGGAAGAAGGAGTCCCTCCCTGCAGCTGTGTCTCCAGTGCCCTGTCTATAAAGAAATAAATACACATATAAAAAAAACTGACTTCTCAGTGTCTGTGAGGAGGAAATTTATGCAGGCTTTGTGAGCCAATAAATTACATCATCCACATGCCAAGAAACTGCAGATGTGCCTTATGGGAAGACAGACCCTTCCCTGTGCCTAGTACCCATAGCTGATCCAGAGGAAGACAGAAAAACCCCAATAAAGCATGATCCAGTTCGCTCGAGTGGGGGAAAAAATTCCCTTCTGATCCCTTAGGATAATGCCTGGACCCCTGGAATTATTACCTCTAAAAATTAGTATCCAGTTATATTTCGTGCATTTTTTAATTCATCCAACTTCTTTTTCAAACAATCTATTGAGCTGGCTAGAACTAGTTTTGAGGGAGTCTATTCCACATTTTCACAGCTCTTACAGTGAAAAAGCCTTTCCGTATATTAAGGTTAAGTCTCTTTTCCTCCAGACATAAAGAGTGTCCCTTTGTCCTCTGTAATGACCTGAAAGTGAATAACTCTACACCTATATAGACCACTTATGTATATATACAGTACATGTTGATCATATTGCCCTTAGTCGCCTCTTCTCAAAAGAGAATAAATTCAGTTCAGCTAATCTTTTCTCATAGCTGAGCTCCATGGAGATTATACGTTTGGTTGCCCTTCTCTGCACTTCAGTGCAGAGTTCTCCCATATCCTTTTTGTGTGCTGGTGCCCAAAATTGAACTGCATATTCCAGGTGAGATCTTACTAATGATTTGTACAGGGGCAGAATTTTGTCTCTCTCTCTGGAGTCTATACCTTCTTAATACAAGAGAGGATTTTTCTAGCTTTAGAAATGCTAGCTTGGAATTGTTTGGAATTGTATGCCATTATTAGGTCTATGATCTACCAGAACACCCAGATATTTCTTCACCATTGACTCCCCCAGCTATTCTTCTTTTATGTTTGATGCATGCACATTTTAAGCCCCCGATGCATAACTTTACATTTATCAACATTAAACCTCATTTGCCAAATAGTTGCCCAATTAAATAGTGCATTAAGGACGGCTTGCAAGTTGGAGACCTCTTGTAAGGACATAATTCCACAGCATTGTTTGGTGTCAACTGCAAACACTGAAATGATACTTTAAATCCAAGACCTTATATCATTTATAAATATGATAAAAAATAAGGGTCTCAACACTGAACCTTGGGGTACACCACTGACAATCTTAGCCCATTCAGAGTATGAAGCATTAATCACTGCTCTCTGAATACAGTCTTTCAGACAGTTTTCTATCCATTTACAAATAGAACTTTTCAGACCTGTAGACCTTACCTTAGATGACACATTAGCCATGTGTGTACAACTGTTTCAAATTGCTTTTGCAAATCCAAGTATGTCCACAGTCACTCATTTTGTCTGTTTGCTTACTTCCTCGTAAAAAGAAAGCAGTTTTGTTTGACAACTTTGGTTATTCATGATCCAAGCTGACTATTGCTTAAAATATTATTTTCTAGCAAAAACTCTTCTATGCATTCTTTTATTATACTCTCTGGTATCTTCCTGACTATAGATGTTAAACTAACCAGTCTGTAGTTACTTGTTAAAGACTTTGATCCCTTTTTAAATATAGGCACCACATTGGCCTTACGCCAATCAAGTGGTTCCATGCCAGTCAATAAAGAGTCCCTAAAAATGAGAAACAATGGCTTAGATACAGTCATGGCCAAAAATATTGGCACCCCTGCATTTCTGTCAGATAATGCCCCACTTCACCCAGAAAATTGTTACAGTTACAAATGTTTTGGTATTCTCATGTTTATTTCTTTTATTTGTATTGGTATGACACAAAAAGAAGAGTATTTGTAGAAATAAAAAGCCAAATCTGACACATTACACAAAACCCCAAAAACGGACTGGACAAAATTCTTGGAACCTTCTGAAAATTCAAAGAAATAATTGCATTCCAAGTTTGTGATTTTACTGTAATTTGTCATTAGACTCACCTGTATCAATTAACAGATCTTAATGTTCCTGTGTCCACTGCATCCAACATTGTCAAGACGTTTACATCCCTTGATACTGGACATGGACGAAAGAGAAAAACTTACTCAAAGATTGCAACGAGGGATTGTTCAAATGATGGCTAAAGAACCTTGATCAATTTCCAGACAAATTCAAGCTGATCTTCAGGCACAGGGTACAACTGTGTCAGCTCGTACTATATGTCACAATCTGAATGAAAAGGGACACTATGGTAGTAGACCTAGGGGGACATCACTGCTGACACAGAAACATAAAAAAATACAGATTGGAGTTTGCAAAAACTTACCTGAGGAAGCAAAAATCCTTTTGGAAGAATGTGTTGTGGACAGATGATACAAAATTACAGCTTTTTGGTACATCCCATCATTCTGCTGTTTTCAGGGGGAAAAAATGAGGCCTTTAACCACTTGCCTACCAGGCACTTATACGCCCTTCCTTACCAGGCCAATTTTCAGCTTTCAGCGCTGTGGCACTTTGATTGACAATTACGCGGTCATGCAAGATTATACCCATATGAAATTTTTATCATTTTTTTTTCTCACAAATAGAGCTTTCTTTTGGTGGTATTTAATTGCTGCTGCTGGGCGCTTTACTTTTTGCACTATAAACCAAAAGTGTGCAAAAAATTTGAAAAAAAAGGTTTCTTTGTTTCTATTATAAAATTTTTCAAACAGGTAATTTTTCTCCTTCACTGATGTGCGTTGATGAGGCAGCACTAATGAGGTGGCATGGATGGGCGGCACTGATAGGCAGCACTAATGAGGTGTCACGGATAGGGCACTGATGGCACTGATGATGGGTACTGATAGACAGCACTGACTGGTATCACTGCTGGGCACTGACTGGCGCCACTGCTAGGCATTGACTGGCACAACTGCTGGGCACTGACTGGCACAACCGCTGGGTACTGACTGGTGGCAGCACTGCTGGGCTGCATTAATGGGCACTGGTGGGTGGCATTGGTGGGCACAGGTGGGTGGCACTGGTGGGCACAGGTGGGTGGCACTTCTGGGCACAGGTAGGTGGCACTGCTGGGCACAGGTGGGTGCACTTCTGGGCACAGGTGGGCAGAGATAGTGGGCAGCACTGCTGGGCACAGGTGGGCAGAACTGGTGGGTGGCGCTGCTGGACACCGATCATCAGGGCACTAGTCATCAGTGCCCTGATGATCGGTGCCGATCCCTGCTCTGACAACTGCCGGTTCTCAGCAGTACTTTCCTCACGCTCTGACAGCATGAAGAAAGTGCAGCCGAGAACCAGCAATTGCATTTCCCGGTTATCAGCGTGTCATTGGACACGGCTGATCACATGGTAAAAGGCCGCTGTGATTGGCCTTTTACCACATCATGTGATCAGCTGTGTCCGTAGGACACAGCAATCATGGAGATCGCCGGGTGCGTGCCCCCGGGGGCACGCAGGAGAGCTCGTTCTGGGAGGACGTCATATCACGCCCTCCCAGAACTAGCCGGCCGCAGTGTAGCCATCATTCGGCTATCTGCGGTTGGCAAGTAGTTAAAGAAAGCAATGCAGTCCCTACAGTCAAATATGATGGAGGTTCACTGATGTTTTGGGGTTGCTTTGCTGCTTCAGGTACTGGATGTCTTGACTGTGTGCATGGTATTATGAAATCTGAAGACTACCAAAGAAATCTGTACACCAATAGTGATTAGTCTCTGTTCCGAATGAAAAACCATACTCTGGTATCTGCACCTTAGCCAACTGCATATCCCCTGAACCACCCAAGGGTTAAGTCCTAGCTGGTGCAACTTTTGTTCTAGATCATTATGTGGAACTGTATCAAATGCCTTGCTGAAATTAATATAGGCTATTTCCACCCTTGCTCTGGTTCAAAACATTAGAGATATAGTCAAAAAAGTCATTCAGATTAGTCTGACATGATCTGTTCTCAATAAAGCCATGCTGCTTTGGGTCCAGGAAGGCCTAGACAGTTGGTGGTAATAGGGGATTCTGTAATCAGAGGTACTGATAGAATGATATGTCACCAGGATCTCCACAACCGAATGGTTTGATGTCTCCCTGGTGCCAGGGTTCAGCATGTGGTGGACCGGGTTGATAAATTACTGGGAGGGGCTGGGCATGACCCAGCTGTCTTGGTCCATGTAAGAACCAATGACAGAATACATGGAAGGTGGAAGCTCCTTAAAAATCAATTTAAAGAACTAGGCTGCAAGTTGAAAGGAAGGACCTCCAAGCTGATATTCTCTGAAATATTATCTGTGCCATGCGCAACACAGGAATAGAGGGGGATAAGAGAAATGAATGCATGGCTAAAGACTTGGTGTAAGAGGGAAGGATTTGGGTTTCTAGAGCACTGGGCTGAGTTTTCATTGGGCTGCAACCTATATGCTAGTGATGGTTTGCACCTAAATGGACAGGGGTCTGCTGTGCTGGGGGAGAGATTTATGGGACAGCTGGAGGAGTATTTAAACTAGGATCAAGGGGGGAGGGTGAATTAGATTATAATGTGGCAGACAGATCAGACAAGGTGTAGTCTTTTTTGGTGGATGGAATGGGGAAAGATGGGGGGAGGGCTATGGCAGATAAGAAGGTTTCCATGTTACAAACAACCATTGAAATTGGTACCATTTTTATGACAATAACAAATATGCAAAATACGTGTGCAAAAGAGGTCAATGAATTAAAGTGTTTGTTCACCAATGCCAGGATTCTGCAAAGCAAAATAGGTGAGTTGCAATAAGTTGAAAGAAAAAAGAAGAGCCTCTAGAACAACTCACATTTTGTATTATAAAAGCAAGCTCAACTGGGTGGGAGCACGGCTGTGTCCTTGCTGTGTCAGCCGCGTCCGCACTATGAAGACCGTGAAAGTGTCAAGAAAGCTGGCCGGCATTTACTGTCTTCTAAAGATGGCATCTGGAACGAACCTTGAGGCGTGACATCAGCGTGATGATGTGTGTAGACCAGCATGCATAGCGATGCGCTTCGGAGCATGAGCTAGACCTCTAAGGGCAGAAACGCGCTCCCTTGTCAAGCTAGGGGCAGAGGCCATAACCAATCATATATATATGTTTGGTAACTAGCAAAAAATTGAGCTGACAATTAAAATAAGGCTAAGGGGAATGGCTAGTCTATATAAAACACAAACAAATGGGCACCAATTAAAAACAATGCAAAATGAAAGCAAAATAAAAATAAAACAGCTATGGAAATCAATAAATAGATATGGGAATAATGACAAATAAGTACTACAGAAAAATACAGCAATATTAGCGATACACAAATAAGGAAAGAATATAGAAAAAATATTAATAATAAATAAAAAGTAATCATAAAAAATTAATTATAATTAATAAAAATAATAAAGAGAAAAATTGCTTGAGAAAATTTGAGAAATGTTTTTTAAAAATTATGTAATTATCAGTCATAATAATTAGTAAAAATGTATTTTTTTTTCTTTTAAATTTAAAATTAAAAATTGAAGAATTAGTTATTAATTTTAATTAAACACATGTAAAATTGCTATTCATAAGAAAGCACTATAGGCTTTAAAGGATGGTGTTAACATCTAATTCTTCATTAAGACCACATGGGGACAATGTATCAAGCATGAAAATCCAACAGGTTTCTTGTGAGCATAACTTAGAAAAACGTTCAGATTCGCAGAGATGCTTTGATATAGATTCTATAACCCAAACCTTCAAACCTATTGTAGATTTGTGGTGGAACTCAAAATGACGGGGAACGCTGTGTTTGTCTTTGCATTCTTCTATAAGGCAACGATGTTCTCCAAATCTCGCTCAAAGTGGTCTAATGGTGTGGCCTATATAAAATAGGCCGCTGAGGCAAGTCAAACAATAAACTACATAATCAGTGGAGCAGTTGTGGAAGTCCCATAAAGTATACATTTTCCCTTTAGCAGTAAAAGTTTTTTGCCCGTGATCAATAAATGTACACATTTTGCACAAGGATTTCTTGCATTGGTACATGCCTTTAATTGGGAGTAAACTAAGCGGATTGTTCACACAAGAGGGGGGATTGTATTTGCTAGGGGCAAGTTTGTTCTTCAGGCTTGAAGCTTTTCTATAGGTAAATTTGAGTTTGGTTTTTTTTTATAGTGTTAAGTAGGTGAGGGTTCTGGAGCAAAATGGACCAGTGTTTCTGTATGATGTTTTTCATTTTATGATAGTGTTTGTAATAAATCTGACAGGAGTAGATGAGTCATTGTTATGTGATGTGGATGGTTTACCCATATCAGTAAAGAGAACAAGCTTTCTCAACTAGTGTAGGGGGGTAGCCCTTGTCAGAGAATATGTTTTTGAGTATGTTACTCTGGGAAACATAATCCGAATCTGACATACAGTTCTGTCTCAGACGGAAGAACTGTCCTTTCGGGATATTCTGTATCCATCTGGGGTGGTGACAACTAGTATAATGGAGATATGAGTTTCCAGAGGCAGGTTTAAAGTGATTTTTAGCATGTATGGTGTTGTTAGTATGGTACAATTCCAAATCCAAAAAAAGTGTGTCTTTGTGATGTACTGTGAAAGATAAACCTGAAGGATTAGAGTTACAATGAGTGATAAATTCATCAACCTGTGTAGTTGGACCATCCCAGATAACAAGTGTATTGTCTATATAACAGCCATAAAAGACCATGTGTGTTGCCAATGGGCTGTTACACCAAATAAAACTGTCCTCCCAAAAACTCATGGTCAAATTTGCGTAGGACGAGGCAAAATTTGCTCCCAACGCTGTGCCGTGAATCTGTAAGTAAAAATCATTATTAAAAGTAAAATAATTGTGTTACAGAAGTCCGTAGCATCAGTAATGATGCATATTTTGGATTGAAGGATAAATCCATAGGTAATGTTGTATGGCCGTAAGGCCTACTTCATGAGGTATAGACGTGTATAGGGAATTTACATAGAGGAAGACCCAACAATAGTTGGGTTCCCAAGTGTAAGATGTTAATAATTCTAACAGATGGGTGCTATCTTTAATGTAAGACTGTTGCGCCAGGGGTTGCAAAATTTGTCAATGTATTGTGAAAAGCCACTAGTAATGCTATCATTGGCTGCCACAATGGGTCTCCCTGTAGTTCGTTTATGTTCTTGTGTACCTTAAAAAATAAAAATATGGAGTGCTGTAGAATTCTATAGACAGAAAGGACGCTTCCAATGTATCTATAATGCCATCTTGTAGAGCCATATCTACTAATTGTAAGGCCTCAAGTTTGAATTCTGGTAACGGTTCTTTCACTAATTTCCGATAAATGAATGTGTCAGTAATCTGGAGGCTCCTTGTAAGTAATCAGAAGTATTAAGAGAAGAACAATGCCTCTACCCTTATCAGCAGGTTTAATTACAATGTGGGAATTTTCAGATATAATTTTTAAAGACTTCCTCTCCTTAGAATTTAAATTCAAGGATGGGCGTTTGCTACTAAGACTGCATATTTAACAAATTCTGATTAAACTACCCTATAAAAACTTCCAAATATCGCCCCTTAGAATGTGTTGGGTAGAAAACAGATCTGGGTCTAACGGTGGTGTGTGTGATGGATAAAGGATTAGTGAGTTGTGATGATAATTCTAATGAGGCCAATTCTGGGGGAGTCAGCCCATCAGAATGGGATTCAATATACAGTTGTCCTTTTTTCTTTCATTTCTATACAGAGCTTGCTACTACTACATGAAGATTGCCCTAGTGCTATATGGACTTTTTAGCCCCTAGTTGGACTTTTGGACTTTTATGCTTTATAATTAGAGATGAGCGAAGTATTCAAAAATTCGATTCGACTGATTCGGCGAATTCGTAGAAAAAATTTGATTCGAGTCGAATATATTCGCTGTGAATTTAACTTAAAAAAGGGTGTTTCTAGGCTTCAGAGAGACTTAATATTAGTGCTGAACACTGTACCTTTAATTTAAATGCCCTTGGAGTCTGCTGGGGAAGAGAAATAATACTGTCAGGCAGTATGACATGCAGATGAGTGCCGTCGATCTTAGAATCACCGCACACTTCACTCATTTGGCCAGTCACGGGGCCAAAACCAGAGTGTGGAGCCACAGTGTGGCGGTGGAGGCAGCAGCAATGGGAGGCCATACAGCACCCTATGACAAAAATGGAAACCACCAGCAGTGTGAGGAGACCTGAAAGTGGCACATGGCAGAGTGTGGCGATAGAGACAGCAGCAATGGGAGGCCGTACAGGGACCCATGACACACTCTGGACCTGGCAGCAGCATGAGGAGGCGGTACAGGGGCCCATGGCAGATTACGGGCCTGGCAGCAGCATGAGGAGTCGGTAGGGGGGCCCATGGCAGATTACGGGCCTGGCAGCAGCAATGGGAGGCCGTACAGGGACCCATGACACAAATCTGGACCTGGCAGCAGCATGGGGAGGCGGTACAGGGGCCCATGACAGATTACGGGCCTGGCAGCAGCATTTGAGGAGTCGGTACGGGGGCCCATGACACACTCTGGACCTGGCAGCAGCATGAGGAGGCGGTACAGGGGCGCATGACAGATTACAAGCCTGGCAGCAGCAACTTGGACAGGAGGACGTTCAGTCATTTTCTGCACCGTCTGGTGCGTGCTCGCAAACTGTTGTCTCTTGGAAACGGATTCCAAGAAAGACTGCTGACGGAATCCGTGAAGAGGAGTAGCAGGAGAAAGGAGCATCTGAAACGAGCGGAATATGCCAACAAGCGACAACAGGGGCCCATGACAGATTACGGGCCTGGCAGCAGCATGAGGAGTCGGTACGGGGGGCCCATGGCAGATTAGGGGCCTGGCAGCAGCTATGGGAGGCCCGTAATCTGCCAGCACCCTATGACAAAAAATGGAACCCACCAGCAGTGTGAGGAGACCTGAAAGTGGCACATGGCAGAGTGTGGCGATGGAGACAGCAGCAATGGGAGGCCGTACAGGGACCCATGACACACTCTGGACCTGGCAGCAGCATGAGGAGGCGGTATATAGGGGCCCATGGCAGATTAGGGGCCTGGCAGCAGCTATGGGAGGCCCGTAATCTGCCAGCACCCTATGAAAAAAAAATGGAATACACCAGCAGTGTGAGGAGACCTGAAAGTGGCACATGGCAGAGTGTGGCGATGGAGACAGCAGCAATGGGAGGCCGTACAGGGACCCATGAGAGACTCTGGACTTGGCAGCAGCATGAGGAGGCGGTATAGGGGCCCATGGCAGATTAGGGGCCTGGCAGCAGCTATGGGAGGCCCGTAATCTGCCAGCACCCTATGACAAAAAATGGAACACACCAGCAGTGTGAGGAGACCTGAAAGTGGCACATGTTTGGTTGCGATGGGCATGATTCATGGCGGATTTAGTCAGTTGTGTCAGGAACTGGTGGTTTGAAATCCAGACTAATCCACGCCTGATTCATTTTCACAAACGTCAGTCTCTCCACACTTTGGGTGGACAGTCGTGTCCTCCGCGGAGTTGCAATACCTCCTGCCGCACTAAACACGCGCTCCGATGCCACGCTACTGGCCGGGCATGACAGCCTTTCAAGGGCAAAATTCAGCTAGTGGGGCCAAAGGTCAAGTTTCGTTGCCCAGTAGTCAAGGGGATTGTCTACCTCGGTTGGCAGGGTGCTGTCCAAGTAGGCCTAAGCCTGTTGTTTGAGGTCCTGCTCCAGGTCCACCCTGATGCTGCTGCTGCTGCTGCTGCTGCTGCTGCGCTGCGGCTGGTTAGTAGTTTCCTCACTGCGCTGGTGAAGAAAGCTACTCATCATCGACTGCAGACTGAGGCAGCCGCTATGCAGTGGAGCTGCCACTGCTCCTACCACCCCACCCCCCCTCCCCTGCTGCCATGCAGCGGAAACGCGAGCGCACAGGGCCCACAGTGTGTCTGAGGATGGACGTTGGCGCAGACAGGCAGAGACCAGCTGACTGACTACATAGGTGGGTTTTTTATAGTACGTTATTTTGGCCTCCCTCTCAGCAGGTGTGAAAAAGGCCACCATTTTTGGAACGGTAGCGAGGGTCCAACAAGGTGGACAGCCAAAAGTCATCCCTCTGTCTGATGGTTATTATTCGGCTGTCGCTACGCAAGCAACCGAGCATGCTATGGGCCATTTGTGCCAAGGAATGCGAGGGACTCCCTGCCTCCATCTCCACAGCATACTGCCACGGTGCGCGTCCGTCTGGGTCCTCTGTCTCCTCCTCCTCCTCCTCCTCTACCAGATGCTCCTGCTCCTCCACTCCTGTCCGCTGAGTGGAAAAAAACCACCCATTTCACTCAATAATTCCTGAGCACCAATGTCCTCCTCTACCTCCTCCTCTTCTTCCTGTCCTGCCCCCCACAGGGGTCATGTGGCGTTGAGATCTGTGCGCCACGTCTACCGCACCCTGACCAGCCCATTGTTAACAGCATTTGTTCCAGGACGTGCAACAGAGGAATGACGTCGTTCATCCCATAGATCCTGCCGACTCACGAATAGCGTGGCCTCCTCAAAGGGCCTGCCCAGTGTCACGCATGGGAGCTGCCAATGGCTGACATCTAAGTTACACAGGGAATACCTTTATCCGCTTTTAACATCAGGAAATCTGTGATGGCCTTTTGCTGTTCGTAAAGGCGTCTAAAACATATGTATGTAGGGTGGAGACAATTCCACCTTGTTGTGCAACGTCACAGCATGAGGAGTCGGTATATAGGGGCCCATGGCAGATTAGGGGCCTGGCAGCAGCTATGGGAGGCCCGTAATCTGCCAGCACCCTATGTCAAAAAATTCTAAACACACCAGCAGTGTGTGTGAGGAGACCTGAAAGTGGCACATGGCAGAGTGTGGCGATGGAGACAGCAGCAATGGGAGGCCGTACAGGGACCCATGACAGACTCTGGACCTGGCAGCAGCATGAGGAGGCGGTATATATAGGGCCCATGGCAGATTAGGGGCCTGGCAGCAGCTATAGGAGGCCCGTAATCTGCCAGCACCCTATGTCAAAAAATTCTAACACACCAGCAGTGTGAGGAGACCTGAAAGTGGCACATGGCACAGTGTGGCATGGAGACAGCAGCAATGTTGGACTCCTGGCAGCAGCATGAGGAGGAAGCGGTATATAGGGGCCCATGGCAGATTTAGGGGCCTGGCAGCAGCTATGGGAGGCCCGTAATCTGCCAGCACCCTATGTCAAAAAATTCAACACACCAGCAGTGTGTGAGGAGACCTGAAAGTGGCACATGGCAGAGTGTGGCGATGGAGACAGCAGCAATGGGAGGCCGTACAGGTACAGGGACCCATGACAGACTCTGGACTTGGCAGCAGCATGAGGAGGCTGGGCGGTATATAGGGGCCTATGGCAGATTAGGGGCCTGGCAGCAGCTATGGGAGGCCCTTAATCTGCCAGCACCCTATGTCAAAAAATTCTACACACCAGCAGTGTGTGAGGAGACCTGAAAGTGGCACATGGCAGAGTGTGGCGATGGAGACAGCAGCAATGGGGGAGGCCGTACAGGGACCCATGACAGACTCTGGACCTGGCAGCAGCATGAGGAGGCGGTATATAGGGGCCCATGGCAGATTAGGGGCCTGGCAGCAGCTATGGGAGGCCCCGTTAATCTGCCAGCACCCTATGTCAAAAAATTGAACACACCAGCAGTGTGTGAGGAGACCTGAAAGTGGCACATGGCAGAGTGTGGCGATGGAGACAGCAGCAATGGGAGGCCGTACAGGGACCCATGACAGACTCTGGACCTGGCAGCAGCATGAGGAGGCGGTATATAGGGGCCTATGGCAGATTAGGGGCCTGGCAGCAGCTATGGGAGGCCCTTAATCTGCCAGCACCCTATGTCAAAAAATTCTACACACCAGCAGTGTGTGAGGAGACCTGAAAGTGGCACATGGCAGAGTGTGGCGATGGAGACAGCAGCAATGGGAGGCCGTACAGGGACCCATGACAGACTCTGGACCTGGCAGCAGCATGAGGAGGCGGTATATAGGGGCCTATGGCAGATTAGGGGCCTGGCAGCAGCTATGGGAGGCCCTTAATCTGCCAGCACCCTATGTCAAAAAAAATTCTACACACCCAGCAGTGTGTGAGGAGACCTGAAAGTGGCACATGGCAGAGTGTGGCGATGGAGACTACAGCAACAATGGGAGGCCGTACAGGGACCCATGACAGACTCTGGACCTGGCAGCAGCATGAGAGGCGGTATATAGGGGCCCATGGCAGATTAGGGGCCTGGCAGCAGCTAAGGAGGCCCTTAATCTGCCAGCACCCTATGTCAAAAAATTCTACACACCAGCAGTGTGAGGAGACCTGAAAGTGGCACATGGCAGAGTGTGGCGATGGAGACAGCAGCAATGGGAGGCCGTACAGGGACCCATGACAGACTCTGGACCTGGCAGCAGCATGAGGAAGCGGTATATAGGGGCCTATGGCAGATTAGGGGCCTGGCAGCAGCTATGGGGAGCCCTTAATCTGCCAGCACCCTATGTCAAAAAATTCTACACACCAGCAGTGTGTGAGGAGTGGCCTGGAAAGTGGCACATGGCATGAGATATGGGAGGCCGTACAGGGACCCCTGACTCTGGACCTGGCAGCAGCATGAGGAAGCGGTATATAGGGGCCTATGGCAGATTAGGGGCCTGGCAGCAGCAATGGGAGGCCCATAATCTGCCAGCACCCTATGTCAAAAAATTCTACACACCAGCAGTGTGTGAGGAGACCTGAAAGTGGCACATGGCAGAGTGTGGCGATGGAGACAGCAGCAATGGGAGGCCGTACAGGGACCCATGACAGACTCTGGACCTGGCAGCAGCATGAGGAGGCGGTATATAGGGGCCCATGGCAGATTAGGGGCCTGGCAGCAGCTATGGGAGGCCCATAATCTGCCAGCACCCTATGTCAAAAAATTCAACACACACCAGCAGTGTGTGAGGAGACCTGAAAGTGGCACATGGCAGAGTGTGGCGATGGAGACAGCAGCAATGGGAGGCCGTACAGGGACCCATGACAGACTCTGGACCTGGCAGCAGCATGAGGAAGGCGGTATATAGGGGCCTATGGCAGATTAGGGGCCTGGCAGCAGCTATAGGAGGCCCTTAATCTGCCAGCACCCTATGTCAAAAAATTCTACACACCAGCAGTGTGAGGAGACCTGAAAGTGGCACATGGCATGAGAGACTCTGGACCTGGCACCTGGCAGCAGCATGAGGAAGCGGTATATAGGGGGCCTATGGCAGATTAGGGGCCTGGCAGCAGCAATGGGAGGCCCATAATCTGCCAGCACCCTATGTCAAAAAAATTCTACACACATGAGAGGCGGTATATAGGGCCTATTGCCTATTAGGGGCCTGGCAGCAGCATGGGAGGCCCA